GGCGTCAAGGGGTTAGGGCTTAAGAGTTGAAGGTTTACTATCTGTGTGCCAGCCGATACTATGACTGTCAGATTACTGAATCTAAACCTGAACCCCAGTAAAGCCGCAAAACCCCAAGACCCGTAACAAGATCAACGCCCAGCACCCTGCCTAACGCCCGAAATTCTGAGCACCGGAAACGAAGCCAAGATGCCAAGCCGGCCGTCACCCGAGAGTAAACCCCTGGGTAGTGGGCATCACCGCAGCCGAGACCTGACAAGACGCGCACTCGGGCTCTACGATACAGGGCCTTAACAGCTAGAACAGGGCTTTAGAGTATATAATTGGTATCCCCATAATAAGAACCCAAAGGACCCATCTGGGTGACTGTTCGAGTTTCTCCCTTAAGCCCTTCATCCGTCTGCTAAAGCCTGTAAACCCTAGAGAGCTCGCATTAAACAGGTCAAAAAGACGTGAACCCCAACACACTCCGCCCAGACACTCGATTGCGGCTCTGTTGCTTGGTTTCCCGGCTTCTTGCGTTCCGGATCCTAGCGGTCCTAGCGATCAAATCGGTCAACCCAAGCAGCACCGATAACAAGGCGCCTGGCCCTACACAACGACGCAGCAGTCCTGAACGTTGCAGCTATGGAGTCAAATTTCAGATGAGGATGATCCCAAGTTTCAGTGCCAGATCCATCTCTCTTCAAGCTTTAGCCGGAAAGTTCTTCTTTTGCTACCTGCAAGCTCTGCAGCAGACGAGTCTGCAGCCGCAACCTCAACCACAACCTACTATGAAATAGTTTAGTCTGTGCAGCGGAAGCGAGGCAATATGATCTCCTGAATACCCTGTCTTCACAGAGCCACGAAACTTTTAACCTCAATGTGCAATTGCAGCCAAAGCGCCCCAAGAGGTCACCCCGGCAATCACAAATCGATCACGGTGCAAACAAACCTTGCTGCAAGGTTTCATGCATATTGCTGGGGGACTGTTTAGGGTGTAAAGACAATCGGCAGGTTTGAGACTCAAACGACAACTCACTGCACACCTCGAATGCTTGTTCTGCACAATTGCTGAATGCTCTGCCATAATTCTTGGGCTTGGAGGAGCACGTGCTGCCGCTGTGACCCTGCAGCGGACGCACATGTTCAGCAGCGGAACACTGGTTTATGTCCTCAGCAAACGTATCCCTCGTTTTCCCTCTTCCACACCCCTAGCCCGACCCTCGGCGCAACATTCTGTCATGGCTTGACAAGGCTTCACCATCGCAAGGCATTATGCGTAGGAGGAGCAAGTGGGCCACCGCTATCTCCTTGGCATGCATCCACAACTCCTGCCCGGTGCTTGATGCAGAAACCTCCAAACACACAATGCAAAAACTGTCGTTTCCCTATATGAGGTTGTCGGAAGGCTGGCAGTTGCTGGACGTGTAAGTCAAGAGGAAGCCTTGCAACAGAGACCTTGCTTCAAGCTAAGCCAGCACCATGAACGCTGTGATGCACCGGCCAAGGCGTTTGCCGAGATTGACGGCCGTCTGCGATCAGTCGCAGGAGTCAACAGCCCAAAGACTGATCAAGCCAAGACAAATGCAAAAGGTCAGGGCAGCGTTACGCAGCTGCTTGGATGCCTGTCCTCCCCCAGATGTGCCAGCCGCACAAATCATGGAGTTCGTCACCGTCCTTGTCGCAATGCAGTCATTCAACATCTTTTGTGCCGAGTGCGATTGACAGCTATAGGACTTGTAGGAGCCTCGGCGACAACCGAATGAACATGCATTCTGACTTTTCGACTGAAAACCTTCCATGGATAGCCCTACGACCATGAACAGGAAGCCCCTTACCTTCAAAGGGAAACTCTTTAATCACAGAAGTCCAAGTCCGAGGCCCTCAGCCCTCAACAAAGCCGCAACTCTGAAACCCCAAATCATCACTATCAGCTAACACGCCCAATCCATTTACTCGGCATCCGCCAAGTCCTGTTGGCTTGCGCGTAGTTCACCTCACCTTGAGTAGCGCATGTCACCCGGCTCCAGGGCTCATGCGTTCAGTGTTCACTCTTTGGGTTAAGGGTTTCACAGGGTATAAGACCTGGACCTCCCTTCGTAACGCAAAACAATGCTCAAAGGGGTTTTGTAGCACTAATGTGCTTTTGGAAGGTTTGGGGGATTTGATTGAGCAGTTCTTGGTTTATTTGAGCGTTTTTGCTCTCCCCTCGTGCGCTTTTGTGCTTGGCAGCCTCTTGGGCTCTGTCGCATAGACCTACATGCATGTTTCACCTCCGTGTCTTCGCCCTGGTGGCGTGCCCCCCCGCTGCTGTGTGCTGTGCATGGCAAATTGCTGTGTGTTTGTGTATGCACGCAGCTGCCCACGGTCGTCATAGATCTCGAAAATCAGCCCACATCCTTGGATCGGCAGGTACGTCTCGACTTCATGTCGTGATTGCATGGGGCCTCTCCGCCATATTACCTGCCGGCTTTGCGTATGCAAGTGACCGAAAACCTCTGCAAGTGCTGGTTCAGAGGGATCGAATGTTCGAATATCAGGCATGTGTCACAAGCATGCAGCTTGATTCATGCAGGGTAATTGCATTTATGTGTGCATGTGTCTGCGACTGCCGTAGCTACAGCTAGCTGTTGCATTTTGCAACCATGGAGCCGGGCCAACCTACGGAATGCCCTGTGCTGCACGCTTGGTCTCAGAGTGAGTTTGTGCTGAAACGCCTTTTGGAGAAGAACTTGCTTATCCTCAATGGGTCACGATTGTCGAGGGGTACGGTCATTGCGAACCAGGATCTTTTGATCCCTCTCATTAATCTGGTTGGTGCTTCGGTAGCATTATGCATTCTCGTGGACGCATGATGTGCATGTAAATTGCATGAGCTAATCATGCATACACCGTCTGTGCAACTGCAAACAGTCCAGATCAGGTCTTCGACCATCTGTCGATTTGGTTGCGACGTACTTGCAGAGACTCTACGCAGGATATCGTCCCATCCACAAGCCAATCCCGGATGGTGCTTCGATTGAAATTTAACATTGCTAGCAGCAGTATCATGTCGACCATATATATTGCTAGTAGATCGAGTCCATGGCTTTGTGATCTAAGGATCGACCATCAAAACCCAGGCGTGGTTGGTGAGAAGGCTTATCTCAGTCTTCTCACGAATCGCCAAACGACCACATGTCCCGAGATCGAGGGACTTCCGAGCTTTCATGAAGAGGGTTGGCATGAATCCGGGACCCCCGTCTGATAATGCTTTCGGCTGTCCCTGTGTGTTGGCTTACTTGTACATGATCGGTCCTACATAACCTAGGAACACCTCGATCTTCCAGCAGCGGTTCGTCTGATTCAGATGAATCGCTTTCGTCTGATTCTGAGTCGGATGATGGTTCTGAGCCCGTGGTTGATGCTGCTACTTCGCTCAATTAGGGCAGGAACATATCCTCATGAACCTCCCAACCGTAGTAAATGCCACTTGCATCCGATATGTCAATGAGGCAGCCGGCGATGGCCGAATCGATGGAGAGCCGCTCACTGAGGAGGACTTGCAAGCCATCGGTGCATCCTCGGAAGCACCCATGCCACCCATCGATGATACTGCCAGACCCAAGCCTTCAAAGCGCACGGTTTGTGCAGACCCGGCAAATCTGCCACCAAACAAGATGCCTGCTATGGCTAAGCCTCCAAAGTTCCGCACCCCAAGTCCGCGCCACAAGCCCCCGTCCCCCGCTCGCACCTGCCACTTAACTGCATCTAATTTCGAATCTTCGGAGCTTGTACAAACCCCTGAAACTTCCAAATCCCGGTACTAGTACAGACAGTCCTGACCAATCCTTTATGAAGAACCTCGCTCCAACTAGAAGCCACAAACCCTTGGGTCGTGCGATAAAAGTACTTAAATAACCCGGCCTTAACCCACAATCTTATCCCGATAACTTCACTTAGAATACCCTATAATAAGTTTGCCCAGTCTCTGCGACATCGAAAGCTTCATCTTCGTGGGAGACTCCGACGGCCCTGAGCCCGCCACCGGGACGTGTCTCGCTGGCACATGTATGTATATATAAGTTATGTGTATATTAAAATACATGGCATGTGTGCTCGATCTATATATGCATGCAATATACGATTGCATTCGAGGCATTCGATGGGAGTATGCCTGTATATGTGTGCATGCATGCACCCGATCAAAATGCGGGCACGCCTGCATGTATCCAAGCATGCACATGGATGTAAATATAGGTTTAAGGTAGATATATAGGAATAGGTAGGCTCTCATATACATGTTCGCATATATGTGCTGTATGTATACAATATATATATATATATATATATATATATATATATATATACATACATATGGCGGTTGGTAGGTAGCTATATAGCTAGCATATATATTATATATGGTGTGTATATATATATATATATGTATTCATATTACGCTATATATGGGTGCACAAGCATGGTTTGGGTGAGGGTCGTCGTTCTTGTGTAAGGTGGTGTAATGCATTCGGTTTAGTGTGTCCTGTGTGCATGTAACTCCTCTGTGCATATATGCTGTATTTTTGTCACATGCTCCATCTCTCCCACACTCTGTGTCGTTCTTCCTTTTTCTCTGGGAATTTCTCTCACTGATGCCCTGCCCCCCCCCCCCCAATCCTGACATTAATTATATCTCCTTTCGCTCTCCGTGTTCCTCTCCCTCCCTCCCTCTCTCTCTCTCTCTCTCTCTCCCTCTGCTTCTCTTCTCTCTCTATCTTTCTCTCTCTCTCTCTCTGCTTCTCTTCTCTTCTCTTCTCTTCTCTCTCTCTCTCTCTCTCTCTCTCTCTCTCTCTCTCCCTCTTTCTCTCTCTCTCTCTCTCTCTCTCTCTTTCTCTTTCTCTCTCTGTCTCTCTCTCTCTCTCCCGCCCTCTCTCTTTGTAGCTCTTGCTAGACTTGTTCATTCTACATGCATCATTCTCGGCCTCTTTGTACCTGCAACATATATCTGTTGCATGCCACATCTCTGCATGATATCGATTATGGCTGTTCGAAGTAGAAGCATTCCCCTGGAAGGTGATGTGTCTCCGATGTCGCAATGCAAAGCTAGAGGTATTCATTACATGGTGAAGGACAAGGTGAATGGGTTTGCTTGCCTTCTTTGCGGATTGACGGGGCAATTGGTTGAACTCCAGGCCTCACCCTGTGGATCGTCACCCAGTGCTGTGCCCTCGCCTGCTGAAAGCTGTACTCCAAAGGGCTTTGAGAAAAGGGCAGGGTCAAGTTCTTATGTGGACCACGAGCATGAGCGGGCGCTCGCGAAAACCCGGCGTGCATTGCAGGAGGAGAACGATTTAAAGATGGCTCGTGAGTTGCAGGAGCTTGAGCAGATGGAACATGAGCTGACCCAACAAGCTTTGTTGGAACAGCTGGAGGTTGAAGAGCTTGAGCTGCAGAGTTTGATGAATCAAGTTCGTGCCGAAGAGTTGAAGGCAAAGGTTTTGGAAGACCCCAGCCTCCTCAAAAGGCTGCAGCATTGCCCCAACACGCCAGCTACGACAGCATCATCGGCTGGTGGCAGCCCAAGTGCTCTCCCCCCTCTGGATCTGCCTTATGGTAGCCCGGCATGAATTTATATGTGATTGCACATGTTCGTAACTCACATGCCAGGGTCATGCACTTTACACCCATACCTTCATGCAGGTACGGACAATATGGAGACATTGGTGGACCCGCCAGAGCCTTCCGATACTTTCGTGGAGCCTGTGGTGCCAGAGACGCTTGAACAGGCGACCCAGGTGATCCAAGCGGAGCAGTCAGAGAACACGGAACAGGCGAAGCAATCCGAGCAGACAAAGAGTGTGGAACAGGCCAAGCAATCCGAGCAGACAGAGAACACGGAACAGGCCAAGCAATCCGAGCAGACAAAGAGTGCGGAACAGGCCGAGCCCGAGCAGACAAAGAGCACGGAACAGACCGAGCATTCCGAGCAGACAAAGAACACGGAACAGGCCGAGCCCGAGCAGACAAAGAACACGGAACAGGCCGAGCAATCCGAGCAGACAAAGAACACGGAACAGGCCGAGCATTCCCAAAATGCTGTTGCTGAGACGTCCAAGCCGATGGAGGCCGGGACTTTTGCGTCACTTGCCATTGATTCTTGCCATTTCGTACAGCTGCATGACACACTCATGTAATTTGTGAGGAGGAGAACACGCCTGGTGATGGGCCATCTGATGCAGCTTGACTGTTAACTTATAATGTGTGTGTGTGTGTGCATGACATACTTATATGTATCGATACAAAACACGCACTATCTAAGGCATTGCCGCCCTGCCCGGTTGCACTGGAGCCAGCTGTGTCACCAGCAGAGCAGATGAAGCTTGCAGGGGCGGAACGGGCCAAGCGAGGTAAGGGAAAGAAGCCCAAGCTTGAGGAAGAGGAGGATGAAAATGAATCCGAGGAGGAGGGTGACAGTGATGCCGACAGTTCGGGGGGGAGTGGAACCCGAGCAAAAGCAGCTGAAGCAAAGGCCAAGGCAGCGAAGGCAGGAAAGGGACGGGGAAGAGGCAGAGGTAGGGGACGTGGGCGTGGCAGGGGACGAGGCGCCGAAGAGTCGTGCGCTAGTCCCCGAGCGGTCTCCTCCAAGCGCAAGGAGACTGATGAGCCGAAGCCTGCCAGGAGCAAGTCGGCCAAGAAGGATGAAGGTGTGGGTGGGGAGGACCAGGAGCCAAAACCCACAGCACCCAAGCCAAAGGCCAAGGCTAAGAGCACAGCCAAAGCAAAAGCAAAGCCAGAGTCTAAGGCAGCAAAGGCCAGCAAGGATGACCAGGTCGTTTCGAGCAAGCCTAGCAAGCCTGCCAAGACCGAGGGCAGTGCGACCAAAAGCAAGCCTTCCAAGACCGAGGGCAGTGGGACCAAAAGCAAGCCTTCCAAGACCGAGGGCAGTGCGAGCACAGAGGAGCAGGAACGCAAGGCCAGACTCTCCCGCAAGTCCGTGGCATATCATAAGGCCAAGACTGCAGCGCAGAAGCAGGGTCTGAGCGAGGATGCGATCAAGGCGGCAGCAAAGAAGGTGCCATGTCTAAAATTGGCCGTGTTCTGCATTCGTGTCTAGCTCTCTCTCCCTCTCTCTCTTCCTCTCGTATTCTGTTCTGTCTTTGTAGCCGACCAGCTAAGTGGAGTTCATAAGCTATAGCTAGATGTCCGGATTATATATAATGTTCAAATGTATAAAACCCGTGTGTGTCTGTGTGCGATATTCAGCCAGTGCTCGTGTGTATATATACATATATGCACACATGTACATGTTTGCCAACTCAGGCATACAAGGAGACGGAGTGAGAAGCTGTGCCAGCGAAGTGAAGGGGTCCTGCACTTGCAACATCGATGTATGCTGCTTTTGAGTGCAGTGGGTGTCAGCCAACTTTCCGTGAGTTGGCACTATGTGTACGGTGAAAACATCGTTAAAGGGGGGGGCCACTGGGCCATCCACGTGTGTGACAACATGGCTCCTACGTTCTCGTTCCGAGGTGCCTGTGCGAAAACATGTGAGTGACTGAGTGTGTGCAGTCATGAGTGCAGCAGCTTTTGCATCCTGACTCAATATACCCCTCTATATATGTATTTAATCAATCGTGCTGCCATGTCTCGTGCCAGGATGCCAGCCACCAACGACTTCAGAGTTCCAGGGTGGCAGGTTCGTGCCGCCGTGCAAGGTTTCCTCACCCCCCTATGCTTTCCAGTGCATATTCAAAAGCGGAATGGATGTGTCATTCTATATAGCTTGTGCTGCTGGGTTCTCGCATTAGCATCTTCTGCAGTGACGGGCTCCGGGATTCCGAGTTTCATGGTGGCTGTAACTAGAGGCTCCAACTATACTCACTGTACATGATGTAGGAGTGCTTCAGGGCTACACTCGCAGTTCTGCGCATGTTACCAGTGCATGTCTAGCTTATACTGAGTGCAATCTTGTCATCGTGTGGATGCAGCTACTATGATTTCCAGACCAAGCCTGCTGTGACCACAACCATCCATGGAGCATTCCCTTGTGGTGAACCTCATCCAACTCGGGGCCCCTAAAGTGCCTGGGAATGCAACCATGTTGCAGTGCATCTGATCATGGTGGAAGCCATCCAGTACTGCCAGCGGATTGCCAGTAGCAGCCCCAATCCTGCATTCCGAATTGATCACTCAGGTCATGGTGGCCACTGCAACTAGTCCCAAAACGTTGTTGACAGTCGAGAGAGTTGTGCATATTGTGTAGGCTAGGTTACATACAATGTGTGCTCATGCGGGAATTGCAGCATATAAGGTCTTACTTATGAAATGGATGGATAACCTGACATATGCGCCGCGATACCAGCTCTTCGACCTCTTCTGTGGTGCTGGGCATGTGTCGAAGGTATGGCACCTGAGGTGAAGATTGATGGTAGCTGCTTGTGGGATCTTATCTAATCGAAGACTTGGGTGCTCCTGCATAATAAGTTGCTGCAGTGCATGCTGTTGAAAAAATAGCCAAGGCACGAACATGGCTATCACATTGCTTCCTACGACAAGCTGTTCGGCAAGGAGATGGATTTCTTGAGGAATTCTGGGTTTGCGAGCCTTAACCTAAATTACAGCTTCGATATGTACTTTCCCTTGTGAGCTTGCCATCGTGACGATTTCCCAGGTTGGCTATTTGGGTAGTCCTCAACGAAGTGCCTGATGCACTAAATCTTATCGGGCCTGATTGTGGGTCTTGGGGGCTGCCTGCACGCCATCCATCCGGGCGAACATATGTGAATGCTTATGGTACGATGAGCTCTGCCTGGGTATCAAACAACAACTGCCTCGTTTCCCGGTATCCCAACTGCAAAATGCAGCTAGCTTTTATGTACTGTTTTTATAGTTTATAATAGAACACTGCAGATATATATTATGTATATGATCTATTTCTTACGACACTATTTCGTCATTAACCATATAGTATCATGTCATATAACATACATTACAACTATAGACCAACGATTTTGCCCCGTGCCCGAGGATGGTCCTGATCCTCCTCCTTGTGCTGGCAAACCACGCCACCTTTCTTGTGGAACAACCAAGTTGTTCACTCATGCACCGCCATCACAGGTTTGACTGGTTCATCAACCAAGTTTGCCAGGCTCCTTATCATAGTATTATGTGGTACCTGTGTTGCTGGTGTTTGTGCAAGTCATGATCATGGTCGATGGTACCTAGGTGTTCCGACAATCTTTCTGGATGATGTTGCATGGCGCCCCGACACCGAAACCCACGATGATTTACTCTCCTATGTCTACAATATCCATGCTGAACTTGGGAAAACTCAAGAAGTCGGAGCGGGAAGCGAGGACATCGATGAAGACAGTACGTACTCTGTCAGATATTTAACACAACTCAGGGGTAGTAAGAGTACCTAGTGTCAGCTCAGAATACCCCTCGGCCTCAGGTCGGCACATATCCAAGGACGGCAAGAAGGTTTTCTCCGGAAACAATGATGCACTGAAGAAGTCAGGGATTCTCGGCATATGTAGAGCAATGTAGAGTGAGTGTCGCATGCCTCTAGGACATTGAGTACAGCAGCTGCTGCCAGCCTAGGGTCTACACACCTGAGTTCGGCAGCAACATAATGAAGGCTTATGAAGCCTGGTGTCAGCAGCCTCCTTCCGAACGTGCAGATGTTCGTGTGCGACGAACAGTGGATGCAAAGTCCACTGACCGTGAATTGTTCGAAGCGATGCAACTTGGAGACCTATGGCTGGAATCGAACATTCATGAAGTGTTCTTCTACCTGTACGGATGCTCACACCTGCGGAGTCTGTGTTGCAATAGGACTTTACCTATAGGTACCAGGCATGCACTCGTCCCTCCCCCTAGCGGAGATGCTACTGCTAGTCACCCCTGCTCCTTCAAACATACGCAACGGTGTCCGGAAACATACAACAGCTAGTGCTGGAAAACTCAGAAGCCTTAAGTTGTATCGCATAGATCAATTTGTGCAAGTCCCAGCCCCCCAGGACACACTTACACTTACATGTGTCCACATGTATGGTATAGGTAGGATATACGGCTGCTAAACAGAGTGCTATCGATGCAAAGCATGTACTCCTGAAAGTTCTGGTAGTTCGATCATGAGGGGCAATTGAAATGATCGAATATACGATTTATGCAACTGAACTGGCATGCTGTCCATCAATACTTATTTGTAATTTGTCCACCTAGATGCCGGCTCTGTTTGTGTATGCGCACATGCAGCTATGTCGAAGTATATTAATCTATGTTATGTATATGTATGTAGAAACTGTGTACGTAAATCTATCTATCTGTATATATTTATATATAGATTTACATATGATATACATTATAGGGCAGATCGAAACCTAAAGAGAAGTCGGATGGTATAAACTTATAATTTATACCATCCGACTTCTCTTTAGGTTTAGATCTTATAATAATTATGTATGCATCGTGCATCGTTTCCATCCTTCTACCAGACATTCCTTGGTAGCCACCATGGCACATAGTTAACGAAGAGTTACAGTTGCAGATCTTGTAACAATAACCCTGACGAAACCCAAAAATTCAGATCCTATAAGGTCTCAGCTAAGTCCCAATTAGATGGGTATAAGTTCTAGGACCTCGTTCTTGCCGACCCAGGATTCCGGATAGCTGGCAAGCGGCGATGGCCAGCTTCGCCAAGGATCTTCGCAGCAATGTTGCCTTGAATCAATATGGGAAGGGTTTAGAAGTTTGGGGTCTAGATTCATGGGGCCTGGTGCAAAGTAGCTCGGTTGCTGATTGTTTACACCATACCCATATAGTTTGTGTGTGGTTTTGGTAAGCTATTTGGGGAATTCCGGTGTCAGGTTTGGGGATATATATATATATATTTATTTATATTTATATACACATATATATATATATATATATCACATCTAGATGATGATCGAATATATAGATAGATGAGTATAGATAAAATTGGTCGGTTATAATTACTTCGGTGTGTATATATGCATATATACTCAATAGATATAAAAATATATATACATGCATATTTGTTTATTCTTTATCTGCTTGATCACTGTTACTGTTTGATGTTAACACTCATCTGGCTCTTTACATGGTGTAATTCCATCATATGTATGTATATATATATATATAATGTATATGTGTGTATTTCTATGTTGATTATTCATCTATATGATTGCTACTTAACAGAATATGTGTGATTAGGTCATAATATGTCTATATGTACATGTAGCAACCTGGCTATATGAATATACATACATATGGAGCTTATCATATATATATATATATATATACTTAGTTAGTTGGGTTTTCGGGTTTAGGGAGTGTTTTAGGGTTGGGTTTCAGTTCAGGGAGGGGGTCCAGGGTTTGGGTTTTAGGCTTAAAAATTAATGCCTAGTTCAGGGCTTCCAAAGAGCACACAAGCCCTTGTCCGGAAGCCTGCAGATCGAAACTATAAAAAATAAGGCCCAGAAGCCCTGCCTACCACAACCGCAAACCCACGAAGCCCTGCCTGTAAACGCTAGAAGCCTTGCCCGCCAAGGCCGCCAAGCCCGCAAAGCCGCAAACCGCAAAGCCAGAAACCCGGACACCAGGCCCCCGAGCCTAGACTGTGAAGCCCAGCCCAGAAGCCCAGAGCCCAGAAGCCCAGAGCCCAGAAGCCTAGCCCAGAGCCCGCCCAGAAGCCCAGCCCAGAAGCCCAGCCCAGAAGCCCAGCCCAAAGCCCGACCCAGAAGCCCGGCCCAGAAGCCCAGCCCAGAAGCCCAGCCCAGAAGCCCAGCCCAAAGCCCATTTGCCCAGGCTTGTGGTTCTGAGCAGCTCCGACAGGAGCTGGCTACGGCCGAAACTATGGCTTGTGGAAGCTCTGGGTAGGGATTCTATAGAGGGTCTTTAGAGGGCTCGGGCTCTTATTTGATAATTTGAGCGTTTACCAGGGTTTTTGCTCAAACCTGGGGCCAGGGGCACCCCGCAAAGCGCGCGCAAATACCCGCCAAACGCGCGCAAATCCCCACCAAACGGGCGCAAATCTAAAAAGTGTTCGAGGCCCTTGTGCGCTTATCTAAAATCTTGTGCTCTTTCTTTCCCAGAGCCACACAAAGCCGTCTTGGGGGTTATAAAGCTGACGATTGCTGGGGTATGATCGCATCTGCACAGTGACGAAAAAGCTTAATCGAACCGTGCATGCAATCGCTTGAGCTAGTAGTTGGTGTGCTGCATGTCACCAATGCACTGATCCGTTGCAGCAGCATACATGTGTGTATTGTTTTGCCTGCCCAATGCAAGCTGACAGCTCTAGCTGAGTATGGAAAGCCGCACGTGGTCGTGCCAGACCCTTTCAGCAGGGATCCCGATGGTTGAGATCATGGCTACCGGGGAACAAAAGGTTCCAAGCCAGGACCTGCAAGCCCGCATCCAGGTGATTTGTCTTAATTGAATACTATAGCTTTAGCCAACTGGCTGCCACGAATTCCCAAGCCCCATACAAAACCCAGTACCCCAGACTCTTGCCAGCCAAGGCTGCCAGAGCCCGCATCGCGGCCCTCCAGTCATCCTTGCAGAAGAGCAAGAGCATGGATATCGATATGCCGGTTCCAGGCACATGTGTTGGTGTTTCGCTGCATCATATAGGGGTTGGGGTTCAGGGTTGTGATCCGGTAATGTAGTCTATTGAAATCGGAGCCACGAGCAACCTATGCCTCGAAACCCCCAGACCCAAGACCCTAAACCTAAATCCTCAAAAGGCTATATAATATCCCTAATCTGACAACCCCTAACCCATGAAGCTCCAAACACCCACAGCCCCGATCCAGGAAGCAGGTTTGAGTTGTGGGTAAGCAGAACCTATAAGGTCTGCAGGGTTTAATTATAGCATATTGCAGTATGTGTGCTAGATTACACACGTGTTAAGGCCGGTGTTCGAGTGTAAGCCCTTTACGATTTATAGGTTCTTAAGATCAGGGATTTGTTGCCGGTTTTTTGGGGCTCTTTTATTGCACGTATGTGCTAGAGCCTTGGGGCCCAAAGGGTATATAGTACGTCTGCAGATATGGACTCCCTACTACACATAATTCCCCAGCCGTCCGAAAGGCAACACTTCCGACCACACTATATGAGCAATCTGCAATATAGTTCCGTGTGTTTACATGCATGCTTATAGAGTTTACCTACCTGCACATGTGTATGTTCTGCCTAAATTGAACATGCTCCCGAGCTACCTACCCCGGCAATTGTACACATGTACATATACGTGTGTTACTATACATGCAGACGGAAGAATGCATGCCAGTACCAGGCCACGCTATGCCATTCCAAAACTCGCCGGCTCATGTCATGTCATGCAGAAGCCACTCGATAGTTGGGCTGGGTGTTGGTGTGCACTTGTATGTGGATATATTGTACATCTAACTATAGTTTCTGTGCACATGATTTGATTCAATGTGTATATATATATACATGTATGAGTGTATGCATATGATTATACGTTTATGTACATATATATGTATATGTGCACATGATCATGTAGGTTTTCTACATGGGCTGTGAACTATGTGCATGATATATCCCACACACCATGTTCTATCTTGTCATGTAGCCCTGTTGCTAGGTGCACCAGCTCCTGCCCTGACAACCCTGACCGGCACGACGATTGCTGGAAAGCATGCAATTGATGTGGGTGATGATGCTCGCCCCGGGAAGCTCCGAAAGCTTTCGAGTGAAGATACCTGGGAGCTTGGTGATCATCTGACGGAGGATGAAAAGCCGAAGCACCAGCAGCCCATGATGCAAACCGTGCGATCCCCGGGCTACTTGGCCAAGCCGCACACTTCGCCGAAGAAGCCGGTCGAGGAGCGCGGCCGATCTCCTGTGCGCAAAGTCGACAAGGGTTGGAAAGACTTGGCGATGAAGCACAAGAGCCCGGCTAAGTCTGTGCCCGTGCCTAGACAACAAATTCAGTGGCCATTGGACATATCAGTTCTATAGATCAATGATATTGGTAGGCTTTGGAAATGCTCATCCATATGCAGGTTTCGGGCAGCTCGCAAAGTGGAGGAAGTGATGCAGGCTCGCCGCACAAGGAGAAGGGTAGGCCCCGATCGTCGAGCCCAACCTACTGGAAGCACCTCCCCTGAATAGTCGTGTGATCAAGTTTTTCAATTGCAAGCATGTACCATGGTTCGAGGTTGCGGCGGTACTTTACTCCGAAAGCATGCGGCAAGCTCAAGTGTTCGAAAGAAGCTCTGGAACTTTACAAAAGCTCCAAAGGAAGTGACTTGCATTATCGAACCCAGCTCTTTCTCAGCCTAATGATGATCATTAAGAGCCGTATCGGGATCAGTTGATACCTAGGAGAGCGTCTGCATGATCTTCTCCGCCAGAACGGCGATTTCTCTGCTTTGGAAGTGGCGGTCAAAAAAATTCACCGGTCTATGTTTGGACAAGCCAAATCCGGCCAATGGTGTACCCGCCATTTCCTTGCAAGCCAATGCCACTGGACGAAGCCCAGAGCTTACTTGCTAGCTTTATAGCATCGCTCGGTAATATGCAATTGAACTCTCCAGCTAGCTATTGATGGTTAATCAGGCCGATGATCAATGCTGGGTTTGCCTGGGCGACGGCCAACGGACTGGTTCGCAAGAACCCAGTACATCAGGAGGAAGAGGCCAAACTGGTCATTTCGGAAACCTTTGAGCTGCAAGATCAGCAAGGCACCGAAATCAATCTTTCGGGAAGCTTCGAACTCGAGGACCCATGCCTCATGATAGAGATCTATGCCACAAAAATCGATCATGTATAATCATGGCATAATTTCCCAGACCCACTAGTTCTCCAGTGGTGTGACTGTCTAATATATAATCTGTCCCCTATATAGCCTCTCAGAAAGCCAAAAAACCTGCATAATTTCCGAACAGGACGACTCCGGCTTCCTCCTCAGCCGCGATGGGCCCAGCATCGACTCGTCGCTGGCAGACATCGCCCGCGGCGGAACCTCGGATGCTGCCCCGGAGGAAGCTCCCACAGCAGGGCAGGCTGCATCCTTTAAGTAACCTGGCTCCATATAGTCGTATAGGCTGCGGTACTCGTACTTAAAGATTACTTGATCATCCCAGGCTGGTCTTTCCTACCCTTGCACAGAATGCTTCGGCTACGTCGCTGTTGGCAAGCTTCCTCGAAGTGCTTGGCCGAAAAATCGATGCATGTGAGGATATCATGGACCCTCGGATGTGTACTTACTATCTAGGCATGCTTGTATACGATCGATCCTTTGCCTCGCAAAGTTGCCCCGAGCTGAAATCTATAGTTGTTCGTCAGCGAATCAGGACAAGCTGGATGAATCCCAGAACAGCAGAGCTTCTTCGCTTCTCTTCTGTATTCATCTAGCCTCATGCAGTTTGCAAACCCAAACCCCAAAGCCTTTCCGAGGCTTCGTGATCAGATGAAGGCCATTGTCACTGAGATGAAAGCGAAGTACGACGACTTGACAGCCAAGCAGGCGGAGTCTGTCACGACGACCCCCGACAAGTATCCTGCCTCATACTTCTAGCCATCCAATCATGCATATGTGGAGATTTGCTCCTACATTACAAACCTCGTGTTCACTGAGGGCCTTCAACGAGGACCTCCTGCGAAAGTACGCGGACATTACAAAGCAGGATGTCGTCCTTGGCAACTACGTGATCAGGGCTCGGTGCCGGGTCTATATAGTATCTCTAGCATGTGTTGCCTGGAAGTTTGCGCGAATACCTAAGCCCCGGGGCCTGAGAGAAAACCGTGTCTGGAACTCCCGAAGCAACCGATATGTGCAACATAATTAAATAAGCTCTATAAAGAACGGTGCATAATGATTAGCCCAGAAACCTGGCCTAGAACCTCATGGGAAAACTTGTTGCTTCTGCAAGCCGGTCGAGTGGCCCCAAACTACCCATGACCTCTATCTCAAACCTTAAATCGGACCCTTCAGATCTAAACCCTAAGCCTCGAACCCCCCGAAGGTGCCATACCGTTCAGGATTGTAGATTTACTTGGATCAAGGTTTCACTGGTACTTCTTATATACCCCAATACCGACATAACACGCATGTCTAGGACCCTGAATCCTTGGCCTACCTATAGGTGACCCCAATCCTAAACCTCCTGCCAAAGAAGGGTCGATTCGTTCCATTTTCCAAAATTATGCATATTAAAATCTTAAGAACTCAAACCCAATAAGCTTAATTAATTAGGTGATAAGCTTCGAACCCCTAGGGTATACAATATATAATATTAATATATATATATATATGTATATATATATATATGTATATATGTATATATATATATATATGCTCATATATAGAGAGAGACCAAGGAATATACATATACATACATATATATATATATAATTATATATATATATATATATATAATATAGTTCTAGGAAACCCCATATGCCAAAGATTTCTAGGACCCCGAACTTTGGCTTGTTTTAAGCAATATGGCTAATTGGGTTACGAATATGATATTAAGGCAAAGGTCTATCTTAAGATAAGGGGGAATTGCACTCCAAGGCCCGATAGTTAATATCCGTAGCTCGCCGAGGACGATGACCAAGAAGGGTGGCTCATCCAAGGCTCCTTCGATGGCAGGTGCTCCCAAGAGCAAGGCTTCTGAGAAGAAGCCGAAGGACAAGAAAACCAAGAAGGAAAAATCTGAGAAGAGTAAGGCCAAAAAGGCCAAGTGATCTGGTAGACTCCTGAGGAGTGCTGACCATATCTCAGCAAACGTTTAGAGTTTGCCGTGCAACGATGGTTCGGAACTAATATTGCATGTCACAGACCTTATATCAATGTGCTTTAAGTTCCTAGGGGTTGTTGCGGGCTCCGGGTTCATCGTTGTTGTGCAGCTACGTGTTCCGGATCGCAGATCCATACGCATAGGCTTCCGAAGCCCACTTGTGCCGGGGAGATGTGCACATGCAGCTTCTATGCAAGCAGCTTTTGGGGCTACTCGAGAGCACCGGCCGAAGTGTCCAAATGCTGAGCTACAAGCTATTCTAGCTGGCTACAGAATGATAATTATACCTACCGCTTGAATGCCACTGGTTTTCAGCGCAGGTCTTCTTGAGGAAGCAGACCAGAGGGCAGGCGGGATATGGGGTTGTTCAGGTTTGCAACGGATCCCTTCTCAAACATGTGTAGCAAGCCTCCATCTCGTATGCCAATTAGCCCGAAAGATCGATGTTAGAGCTCTCTCGAACAATATTACTTCCACCAATTTGATATTATTGTGAGGACCCAAAAATCTTGTGAATTCTGCAGCCCGCAAACCTTGAAAACACTTCATCACCTAATACCCCAAAAGTATGCATAAACCTCGAACCCCAAACCTGGCCGTTCTTACCTAGATATCGAAACCAACCCAGCTTGTCCTTGTGCAGAACGGCCATCGGACTCCGAGTTCGATGATGACCTGGCCGATGAGCTGTTCATTGGCTTCGAGCAGGGAGTGGCTGGGTTGTATATGTGTATCAAGCACCTATGCTGCATCATTATCCTTGAGTGTATAGTTCCGATCTAAGGCAGAGAGTGCTACACGAGTGACTCGCCTGGCGAATGTTGCAAACAACAAGCTGAAGAAGCACGGAGTCTGAGCACTTACATGGTCTCGATTTGTCGATCATTAATGGGTATAGGACTGTTGCTCTATAGTCACCTATAGTTTCCAAGTCGGTGTCTGGATGTTTGCAGGGCTACTATGTATGTGCAGGAGTCATTTAAGTTCAGGGGTCGGACTAGGGGTGATTTCATTATGTAGTGTATATATATATATATATATATATATATATATATTCATATAGAATTAAGTTATAGGGTAAGGGTTTGTGCCCTGGCTTCAAATAGCATCATGGGCATTCAGGGGTATATCCTAGGACTTATGGACCCTGTGCTTTCAATACTGGCGAGTTGTGGGCACAACAAGAAGAACCAATGCCGGAACTTGCATAAGCTGGTACATAGACAGGGGTACACACTACCAATCAAGATCGAGTCTGTGGAGACGCCGGTGAGGGTCCTTTCCGGCAAGCGTCGTGTTGCTGTTGTACCTTATCCGGTGATATATCTGTCAGAATGGGCTACCTATTTGTTGAACTCCAAGGGATACGAGAAAGTATTACTGGCAGGCTGCGAACTAGCCGATGAAAAGAACTGGAGACGCACCTTCTCGTGCTTTTGGAAAAGATATCGGAAAGTCCGACCCCAGTTGGAACTGTTTTCTGTTCCAGATACCGATCTCAGCATGTGCATCCCTTACGGACTCCATGGTGATGAAGGGCGAGGCAAGATGAAGCGACCACTTATGTGCTTGAGTTTCCAGCCGATCGTGAGCCATCGTGGAATGAATTTCACCAATACTGGTGGGCCCCTTGTCCTTATTCCTAAACGAGTCTTGCAGCTAACGACCCCCCAAAGTCGTCGATCTAAGTCGAACCTTATGACCCTGAGCCATAGCTTACTTCGAATGTCTGTATAGTAGTGCTGTTTGACTTATTTAGAGTATGTAGCAGACCGCCCTGGTAACACGCCTTCGTCGCCGTGGCCCAGCAGCCAGCACTTCCTTAGTGTGTTGGTATATAGTAGACGTAGTAGTAGTAGTAGTAGTAGTAGTAGTAGTTGTTGTTGTTGTTGTTGTATAGTATAATAATAGTCGTAGTAGCAGTCGTACTAGTAGTAGTTGTAGTGTATAAAGTTTTAATACTATACTAGTAGCAGTAGAAGTAGATAGTCGCAGTAGGAGTAGGAGTATAGCAGTAGGAGTAATAATAGGAGGAGTAGTGGTAGTAGCCCTAGTATACTATATATAGTTAGAACTAGTATATATGGTATAGCAGCAGGAGTAGTAGTCGTCGCAGCAGTAGTAGATATATACATATACATATAGTATAATAGTCTATAGTAGTGTAGTTGTAGTAGTAGTAGCAGAAGTAGCAGAAGTAGTAGTAGTAGTAGTAGTAGTAGTAGTAGTAGTAGTAGTAGTAGCATGTAGCATGTAGCATGTAGCAGTAGCAGTAGCAGTAGCAGTAGCAGTGCAGTAGCAGCAGCAGTAGCAGTAGCAGCAGTAGTGCTAGTAGTAGTAGCAGTAGTGGTAGTAGCTATATAGGCAATAGCAGAAGGAGGTAGTCGTAGGTGGTAGTAGTAGGAGTAGCAGTAGCTAGTATAAGTGTACCTAGTACTAGTAGCCTGTAGTACTTTATATAGTAGCTAGTAGTACCATGTATCGTGCACGGTTTAGGGTGGGGGTTCAGGTTTGGGCCTCAAGAAAGGTTGGGATTCGAGGTTAGGCAACTACCACCTCCTCTTCTACTATTGTTGCTGCTGCCGTTGCTACCGCCGCTTCTGCTACTAGTACTGTGTACTGCTACTACTACTACTACCACTACTACTACTACCACTACTACTACTACTACTACTACTACTGCTACTGCTACTGCTGCTGCTACAGCTACTACTACTACACAATACTGTGCTATACTGTTGCTGCTACTTCTACAACAGGTGACCTCCTAAGGATGTACTGATGCAGTACAGAAGTTATATAAAGAAGTAATATGTATGCACCATTCATGTACTCTGCGAGTGTTGCTGGTGATCGGTTCACAAGTAACTAGATCGATATGATGCAAGGCATTCATTCACTACACGCCTTCTGTACTCCGTCATCCCAAGTGAACTATATGCTGGGGACAGAACGCTGGATACACTCCATGCGGCAATGACTGAGAACTTGCTGCAGCTGTATCACGATGGAATCAATGTTGCTTGGCTTCGTGCTGCAAGTTTTGAAGGGGAATGTTGGAGCACATCCATAACCTGTACCTGATCCATAACCTCATAATCCCTACAGACCAACCTCTAAATCTCGATCCCTATATAAAGTCGAAGACAGATTTAAGGTAGCAGGACCCGGTGGCAAGATCTTCAACTTCAAGTTTGTACCCATCGTTTTGAAGGGGGATTGGCCTTATCTCCGCAAGGCCATGCACCTCGCAACCGGTTTTACGTCTACACGCAAATGCCACCTATGTGACACTACAGATACTTGGTGACTTCTGTAGATTTTACTTAATATATAGCAGATCCATAGTTAATTCGGGTTCTAAACAGACCCCAAGCCAGCTAGATTCCAGGAGTGGTACGACATGACAAGTGCAAGCACCACACGATCACTTCCTCAGAATTATGTGCCGACAGACCCCTTTAAAACTTCAAGGGCTCCATCCCCGCTGAGAAGATTGCCCGGTGGTAGTGGGCCAGAATGGGTCAAACCGGACCCTGCACACACGTATGCTATTAACGGGTGGGGGAAAGATTACGTATCATCGGCAATCATCCTCTTGATGCACTTCGGTGTCTTCGGCTTTGCCCGCAGTTTCCAAATCAACTTGGATGTCGCATTCAAGCGACTGAAGGAGTGGTGTCGCAATCATGGCAAGACGACTTCGCTTACCCAGTTGTCGTTGAAAGTTTTCAAGGTCACTTCGTAGCTGGTCTTTATAGCTATATAGATTGGTAATCAGGTTGCTCATCAGTATAGCACTGCTATAGTCTACAGGTTTTGTGGCCAAGGCTGAAGCAGTTTCCGCGAGGATGTGGCAAAGGTCACGATACAGCAGTGCTGGCTGCTTGGATCCACGACGAGATCGAAGCAATTGATCCAACTACAATCGATGTACCCTTGCTGCTATTGAGTATACGTAGCCTGTATAGAAATCATATGAATACCCCCAAATGATTGTCCCTATAAGATATTCTCTAAAAGATCTATATAGGAGCAGTATGACGAGATCTTTCAATTGCTGAAGTGGACATCGACCTCCCTGAACCTTCATTGGCGAACTCTATACTCGTGGGGAATTTGGCTTCCGCGAATAGATGCCGGCCGAGTCGCGGTAGAGAGTGGATTCAAGATGCTCGCAGCCAGGCGTCATTCGGTCTCGTTGTCGATTTCACCGGGGCACCCCTAATTAGATCGATATATATCCCCGAGATCTATATGTGCATATCCTGGCCTATTTAAACCCTAGCAACACGTGGCAGCTAGCTATAGGAGATTAATCGCTAATTTTTACCGTTCGTATCCGTATATATATACATATATATATAACCCTTAGAACTGCTATGAATAGTCGGTCTAGATATAGCTAGCTCGAAACCGATCGAAACACCTGAGCCAAGTCCCAGCCCGAGGAAGGCTATGCATCGCTGGCTATGAAGTGTGCAAAAAAACAGCTGCCTTTGTTCTACATGAGACCGAAGCACCACATGCAACTCCATTTGGTGAGCCTTGCCTTCTAGCCTGTGCCATATTCATGCTATTGTATGACGAGAGTGCACAGATAGGATACACGGCTAGGAATCGGAAATATTATTGGGCCTGGCAACTTAAGGAAAGAGATGGCTTGGCAGATTGATGCCGGACTTGACTGGATTTTGAATCCGGTTTGCTACCTGGTCATACATCGCATCAGGGGTTTAGTCGATCATCGTATAGTATATCAAATTAATTATAAGATGGTCTTGGGCAATGTATCCGTCCGAACAGGCTGGGCTTGTTGGAGCGATGAAGACTGGGTGGGACGCTGCTCACGCATCAGTCGCCGAACACATGCAATGACAACTGCTACACGCACCATATCTACGAGTCTCATGCTTTATCGGCGACACTTCCTGCAGACCTTTGCGTGACAAGTCACAACAGTGCGAGCCGAGCAGCTTGAAAAACCGTGCCGAATCGTGTGCACTTTGGATGTCTCGTGCGCTTTCTTGGGAGGGTCGTGCGCTTTCCTTGTAATGCGTGCGCTTTTCATGAATATGTGCCATTGAAAGGCACTGGTTCGTGCACTTAATTTTGCGAGCGCAATTAAGTGTATCAAACGAGGGTCTAGGGAGTTTAGGGTTCTCTTTAGGCCTCGGGAAATGGACAACGTCAGGGCACGGCGTGCAAGAAGCTTCCGTGCTAGACAGAGCCAACGGCCCGACAACTTCGCGAGCCGAGTCGGTTGGTTGACAGAGTGAACGGGCCCCTCATCAGTTTGGACGTATGAGAGTGCCACATTTAATCGACCTCTTACTTCAGCACTGCAGTATAGACATTATCATTAGTTAAAGAAGGCTCTACATGGTCAAAGCTTGCAGGATAATACCCCATGACTTTCGGAATGGACAATCACTATGTTCATATGCTTTGTTGGCTCCTACGAGTAATCTAAGCCAGCTCCGTCTATTGAACCAGCTGGGGGAAAGAGATATTCGTAGGCAACACGAGGGACCAGGGAGTTGCTGTTGTTGTTTTTGGTGGAGGCGGTGGCGTGTTGCGCATGGTCGCTTTCGCCCGTGGCCACGCGCAGCATTGTGGAACACCCAAACGCTGAATAAACTTAACCGTTTAGAAGCCGAAAACCTCCGAGATTTACTTTCCCCACGAAAAGACTATTGGAAGCCGCTGGCAGCGGTCGTGCGCCACGGTGGTCACGACGGCTTGCTGGAGGATGCTGGGCATGTCACCCCCTGACTGCTGCATGCCTGGGATATTCGTCTTGCTGCATATGGCCCGGGGTCTGTTGTGGGTTTCAAGGACTCAGGAAGCTTAGGCATTGAGCCATGAGTGGTAGCCTGGGAGGGCGCGTTGTCAGATGCAAGCTCTGGGAATTGCCGGATAGATTAAGGTGTCGGACAGATTGAGCAGGAAGTAGTAAGCAGTCTTGCCGCTTCCGTCAAAGTCGACAGACACGCACACATATATACCTGTACACATATACATGTATATGTATATGTATATGTATATGTATATGTATATGTATATATATATATACCTGTATGTATACGGTATACATATGTTATACATATATACACAGCTACATCTACATGGAAACTGCAATTCTGTATCTGATTGTGCTCATGATAGCCCCCTGCCCCATGAATCTTTGCTCAAAAGGCCCAATCCATAAACCGTGATCCGATGCAGCAGCCCGAACCCTAAATCCTAAACCCTGAAGCCTCAACTCAGCTTGCTGGGTTTACTGCGGCGGCCTTGATGCTTCGATTCAGGTTTTCAGATATTCTGCACCATATGTACAACAACAGAACCTTTAAACACAAAACAGTACTCGTAGGTCTTAAGGCCCTGCCTATGCTTCAGGGAGCTCCAAAAGTTCACAGGCTTCAGGAGTGAAGTCAGCAGTTTCGTGGCTCTATGGAGGTTTGCCGCTGGGGGGGGTTCCGACAGCGTTCAGCGGCTAAGGGCTTCTGGGTGTAGGGCTAGGACTGCAAAACGGAGACAGCAGATCGCTTTCCTGCCATTTTTTGCCTGAACCCTGTCCAGATCTGGGCAGGCCCTGCTGCCCCAGCCAGTGATCTCGCACATGCTCCCGACACCCTGGCAAGCACAGTTTATGAAACCCAATACATGCTGTTTGCAAGGGCTGGGCCCTAAACGCCAATTGGAAACTACCACTTTGTGGGTCTTGGTGTCTTCGGTGAAGCCTTACTGTGACTACAAGCCTTGCAAAGCCTCAGGCCGCAACAGCCGCTCTGAACACGAAATAGCCTTTGAAGGTTCGACACTTCAGAACTATTCAAGTGATAGACTCACACAGAACACATGCCTGTGAACCGGGGGGAGCGGTTGCTCGCCCACATGGCTTTGGGTGCAGGGTTTACAGTTTAGGGATTTAGGGTTCAGGGCTTGGGAACGGTTCCAACAATTTCTGGGGTGGCGCTTCTCGGCACAAGGCCTCGAAGTCGTCGGTCGGCAAACAAGCAGGTCCGATGCAGCTCGTCTCTGGTACAGGTCGATCCAGCTGTAGCAGCCTTTGGAATGGGTTTCGTGCGATCGAAAAATTTTCTGCTGAAGCTTTGGGTTAGTCAGAGCGTTGAGGGCTGAAACGGGCCGCCGCCAGGACATGCAAACTCCAACTTGCACAAGCTGGGACAGCAAGGACGACAGCCGGACGACATGCAGGAACCTGACTCATGAAAGTAAGGGTCCCAAAACCTCTAATTGAGGGTCCGGGGTAGCGAGCCTAGTAGAGTAGCTCAGATCCCCAGAGACACAGCAACCCATCCTGGCATCACAGCGAGCTAGGCAGTATTTTTCATAGACGAACATCGTACTTCTGTGCTGAATCTCTTTCTGGGTCACGCTTCTTTGCACATGGGCGGTGCAAACCGACTTCTGCGGTTGCAGGGGCAGAACCTATGAAGACGCCCAGCTAATATCCAAAGCTCTACTGTAAATCTGACTCAAGCCTACATCAGACCTGTCAAACCTAACCGCCCGATCTGTAAGTCCTTCACCCATACAAGAAAAACCCTAAAAGGCGCACCCTCATTTACAAATCCGCTGGGCCCAAAGTCCACAACCCAGCCAGAAAACCAAGACCCTGTAAGACCTCTCAAGATCTTGAATCCGTAAGTTCTTGAATGACAGAATCCCACTCTAAACGAAACTTTTGCCGAAACACGCGAGATCACTGTCAAACAGGATCTCTTGGCTAAACGCAGGGTGCGCAAAGACCTGCCGACTGTTTTTTTTGTTGGGGGTTTAGGCTTTATGGTATATAGGCTTGGATTTATAAGGGTTTTTTGCGGGTACGGTGTAGGCTGTATGGGTGTCGGGCTGCGGCAGTCCGTCCTTGTTACAGAAACTTATAATAAAGGAGAACAGGTTTGGGTAAACCCGTTGTTTAAGAAACCAGAAAGCTTGTTCAAATGCTTTAAATGGCAACCCTCGCAGAAACCCACCTTTTTCCACTGCGCTCAAGTCTAGCCTGTGCAGAAACCTACCTTAAGCCTTCCTGAAGGACCAAATGACCCTTAAAAGCAGGGGCCCTATACCCAAATACTATGAATCCCTATATGGTATATGAACCATAAACCCTTTTAGGGTTCATTTCGTCCTTAAGGATAGCCCACAGCCCAAACGCCAACCGACCAAGCCCCGCAACCCCCCCCAAGCCCAGCCTGCGTGATGCCTCGCACTTCCGAGGTCGCCGCTGATGGCTTGACGTGCGAGTCTTGCTGCCAGCCGCCTGCCACAACCTTTGAGGGTGCAGGGTCTGCTGTTCTTGAGAGGTTTTAAGATTTTCTCGTTCAGGATTTGGCGTGTTTAGGGCTTTCTTTCAGACTGTTAGATTGAAGGAATGTTATCTAGGTTGGAGGGTTTCGGATTTACTGTATAGTTTCCTCATATGTGGCCCGAATGAACTGCCACAACTCCCATAAGCTCCTATGATACCTGCTTTTGGAGTCGGAGCTCGAGATTACAAGACCTACTCTCGCTCTTTTTGAACCGCCACGGTACCTGTGGTCAACCTACCCATAGGCTCCATAGTGGTTCCTTTTGGGATTACCTTATAGGATTCTAAATATGAACCCCAAAAAGGGGAGCCTGTGGGTAGGGGCTTGCTCGCCTGAGATTGACCAGGCTTGATGAATTGCGTGAAGTCTTCCTTCATATGGCCTGCCACGGCCTCGCAGCTCTGCTTTAGCACGACCCTAAAACCCTATCGGGCCTAAAGTCCTCAAGTCACCGTCCAAGCACCTAATACCTGTGCACACATGCGCCCTGCAATTACACGTGATAGCATCTTGCCACTGCCACCCAACATGTACTCGTACTTTTTGGTTGATCTCCGGGTTTCTTCGTACATATGTATATATATATATATATATATATATAGAGAGAGAGAGAGAGAGAGAGAGGTATACTATTGATATATAGAATACCCAGCGGCTGTCTACGTCACTCAGGGCACCTGGAGCTTGGAGAGCTTGCAGTCATCAAGCAAGGATACGCAGTGCGCCGCGGTAAGGACCCACCTGACAGATTCTTAACTTCGGGCGCTTTGGACGTTTATCCTGGCCCCCCAAAGCCTAACAAACCCGAATACCTAAACTCTGATGCGCTGCTAGTTTAAGGACAGCTTTTCCGCCAGCCAGCTCCGCCAGCTCCCGCGATTTTGGGTTTGGCTGTTTGGCTGGGGTCGGGTTTTAGGGCTTTGCGCATCAGTTTAAGGTGTGGAGTTTAGGGTGTGTTCGGGCTCAGGACTTCAAACCATGGATAAGACAGCATGGCCTGAAACTCGGGTCCCAAATCCGAACGGCCTCCGGGCCTCTGACGCAGAACCCTCAAAGTAAGTTTCAAGCCATGACAAGATTCAGGATGCAGTATGGTCGCGCATTGCCCCTTTTACAGCTGGCTAGAGCCTGAACCCTCAAAGCTTCAGCGTGTCCATTCTTTCAACTGGATATCAGAAATCTGGCATGAGCTTCCTGGAGCTCTAGACGTGGTGTAG